TTTCATTCCTCCCCTTCCTCCAACAGACATTGATTTTCCCCAAACAAAGTTACCTTAATAGTGAATACCCCTTCCATGTGCATTCTTTCATGTATGTTATAAGTCATCCAATCTTCTGAGACCACCCCTACATATGCTTTCTGAAATCTGATTAGTTCCTCATCTTTGACATTTAAGGCCATATTTGCAAACACTAGCTTTTCTTTCTAATTACCTTATTATTGAACCTATTCCTTCTATCTTTCCATATAACATCTCCATCATCCACCCACTTTTGCATACATTCTCCTTCGATCCCTACCTTAAACACCCTTAAATTGTTCTTAATGATAAGTTTTATTTTCCTTTTCAGCCCTAGTTTCCTTCTAGCTAAAGCCTGCGTTCCTCCCCGAATCCTTTTTATTGTTATATATCCCTAATTACTCTTTCCCTTCCCCTTCAAATCTCTTAAATTTTGGGATGTTTGCATAGATCTTGTGTTTGTTAATGATTATATCATTTGATTTCACCACCATCATCCTATCATCTTCAACATTGAAGAATCTTACAAATCCATATTGCTTCCCCCTCTTATCTTTCTTCGACAGAATTACTACCTCATATATATCTCTGAAGTTCTTAAAAATTTTGTGCATTTCCTTAGCTCCATAGTCATCTGAAATCTCTATAAAAAATAAAGATGACGTTACTTCTCCTTCCTTTGTAACCCTTCGTCTTCCGATATTTAGATCCCATTCCGCCTTCCTTGCATTTTCTTGTGCAAACCGCTTCTTATGTGTAACCCTCTGCCAATCTGAATCTTCATAGATGCGCTCTTTTGCATGCATGTTTGGAAATAAGTTTCTCAAAGCGTTTTTGGTAAATTTTGGGAAAAACGAATCTTAGCTTGACTTTGTTGTAATGAGCAGTGGTTGTAGTCAGGTTGATAGTTTGGTTATTTAAGAAATGGGTACATAAAAACTAGGTTTTCTGCTGACGGTGAGAGAATATGTTGGGTGCGGTGTTTTGTGGTTTTGCAGTGACTTTTGGTTTATAGTGGCTTTTGGTTTTTTGAGAGAGGTCAGGCATTCTCTCTCTACATTGTATTGTATTGCAGAATCTTCTGAGGAATAAAGTTAAATTTACTATCATTATATATTATCGAATTGTAATATTATTGAATTGATTAACTAAATAATAAATTAAAAGTTAATATATTTAATAGATCTAACATTGGTTAGTGAAAACAAAAATGCACGCCATGTGGTAGGTAAGATTATGATTGAAAACAGGAAATTATATGTTTTTTTATTAGTCTATTTAGCTAAAAATAATAGGTCACAGGCCATAAAAAAAACCTTTTAAACCTATCAAATCGACCTATGTAAATAAACATGAATAAATTTATTATTAATATTATTATATAAAATTTTGTACTTTAAATTAAAATATGAAAATAAAGCTTAATTATCTTAAAGAACTTATGAAAATAAGTTGAAAAAAATATATGAACAATGTCATAAGTTGTTGTCATAAATTCTTTCAAACAAATATTATCAAAAACTTTATGCTAATAGGTAAACTCGAATGAGTCAATCAAAACAAATATTTAGTCTTATTGATCTTTTAATTTATTAGTCTATGTAACATTAGTTGAATTTCTTATTTACAAATGATCAAATGAAGTGAACTTTTAAGTAGGCTAGTAGGCCAAACAGATCTTCTAAAACGTTAGGGCTAAAAATAATAGATTACAGACTAGACTTAAACTTTGAATTTTTTAGCATGACGAATTCAGACTTAACAAAAAATAACTTGACCCAACTTATTCACACTCATAACATATACAAATACTACTATTCAATGCACATTTTAATTTTCCATTTTGTTGTCATTAATATTTACATTTTCATTCTTATTTAAATTTATTTGAATGGTGACAAGAATACGAAAATTTTTACCCCATACCCCTGCATTTATGCCCATACCCCTACAAATTAAAAAATTAGACCAAAATACTCTTGTATAAATACCTATAATTTCAAATTTTTAACTTTTCCTCATTTAATTCCAGCTAGAGCGTAAAAAAAATTTCATTTCTATTTGACTTCTGAAAAACTCAACACTAAGACTTCCGATTCACTAACTTTCAACACCGGAGAACTAGAGAGTGAGTTATCTGGTTTGTTATTTATGATGTTTACACTCCGGATAACTTGGGGTATAGTTATCCAATTCATATTTGTTCCTCACCGAATAACTTGGCATTATGTTACCCGGTTCTTATTTGTTCCTCACCAGATAACTTGCCATTATGTTATTTGGTTCTTATTTATTCTTCACCGGAGAACTTGGTTGGCAGTTTTCTGATTTGTTGGATTTTGAATTTTGTGTGGCTCACATTAGAGGATGGGACATGCATATTTATCGATGATATGGTGAAGGATAGAAAACACAACAATCATCGAATCGAGAGGAAGATTAGATAGCTGAATATTTGTCGCGTCCACTGCATCCACCATTTCTCAGAGGGCCGTTTGATATGTCTCATTTGGTGAGATATCAGGACCACATTGCTCACCATATGTGGGTCGGTGAAGTAAGTTAATCTATGCGACTTTTTGTTTTTCTCAAATTTAATGCTAATTATTTATGTCTTATAACATATGTTATGAATTATTTTTAGGAGAGAGTTCCGAAGAAAGAATTGAAGATTGTTGCACATAGCAGCAAATTGATCGGGTGAATTCCACACAGTTTCCCACCAGTGATAGAGAGATGGTTATTTGCTTCTGGTCTGTCCTTTCTATAGAGAACCAGTTTATCGGGGATATATCAGAACTTAGTATCTGTATTTATGGAGAGATGGTATTCAGAAACATCGGCCTTTCATATGCCATTTGGCGAGATGACCATTACTTTGGAAGATGTTTAATGTTTGCTTCATTTACCATGTATGGGGAATTCTGTAACCCTATAGAAGGGTTCATTGATTATGATGATATTACTCAGGCTATTGATCTGATGGTTGTTTTGTTGGAGGAGGCAACTGAAAAGGTTCGTGCTTGCAGAGATCTTTAATATAACCTGGAATGTTTGAAGCATATATTTACGCGTCAGTGAGCTGCGAGTAGGTTTGAAAGTGAAACTGGAGCCTATATTTTATTTTTGGTAGGATGCACCATTTTCGTTGATATGACATTTACTCTTATAGAGGCAAATTATTTATCACTATTTTGGAGTTGCCTGGATATGGTAGATACTGTTGAGGGGCAGCTGCATTTGTCACACTTTACAAATATCTAAGAGATGCTTCCTTTTACAATTGCAAGCAGCTTGGAGGACATGCCTCTCTGCTACAGGTACAAATGTTTTATTTTAATTTTATTTTGACTTATATTAGATTATTTATAATAATTTTAATTGATAATATTTATGTTATATAGCAATGTTAGATTCATGAGTATTTTTAACCTGTTTGCAAGAGAGGATTTTCTAAGATTGTTGGTACCGGTAATCCACTTTCTAGGGCAATGAAGTGGATATACAAGCAAGATGCAGAGAAGGTTGATGAGCTCAGGACTGTGTTAGATGGATTGTCACCTACTAATGTCATTTGGAACCCTTTTGAGGATCACATATAACACCGGTCATTTGATGATATATCTTTGTACAGGGGTGGCCCGAAATGGTATGGAACACTTGTTGTATACTTATCTGATAAATGTTTCTGTCAGTTTGGATACAAGAAGTACATACCATCTCCACCTCCTGATGTTAACACACCTGGTGTTGATATTGAGTGGATTACATATCATGCGAGCATGATGGAAGTGATTCTTCCGGATGATTTTGCAGATACTCTATATGATGTGGTAGTCGATTACTTGGATTAGTATTATACGGTGTCACATCCTTATTTGGTACTACTACCTCGGGGGGAGGTCAGACAGGTCCCGATTCGTGTCTATGATGCAGGACCGGCTGATCTGAGATTGTTACATATTTCACGTGAGTTTCGTCGCTATCTACATCGTCACGAGGTGGAAGAGGATGACAACGATTTTTATGAGGTCTTTCGAGCACTACGTATAGTTCAGGGCAGTTAGTACCTCACGAAGGACCAATATTTTATGCTAGTGATTATGATTGATGTATTATTTACTATTCAGACTTATGTAGTATTATTCATACTTATGTCATATTATTCATAGTTATGTATTATTATTTAGACTTATTTAGTATTTTTTTAGACTTCAGAGTTATGTAATATTCTTCAGACTTATATAGTATAATCCAAAACATACCATGAATTAAATATAACATGAAGTCAATTGTCAATACAAACCAAAATATAAAAATCACATTACAATTATAATTTAACATATTTCAACACCGTAGGCGTAAGGTGTTGCCAATTTTGTAACCCTACGGAAAATCTTATCATCCAAGAAGTTGTATCTGATGTGCAATACTTCTTCAAATCCAATGTGACTGGTGGCAAGGGGAATCCTTCATTCATGTTTACCTATTAAGACAATTAATAAGTAAGACATAAATGAAATATAAGTAATTAACATAATAAACATGAATATTTACCTGAACCAAATAATTTTTGTTTACAAAACCAATATAGTAAATAGACACATTAGGTGAATGTGAAGTCGTCATAGGAAAGCAAGTCAAACTAGGATAACCCAATGAGACAAGAATGATGTCATACTGATTTGCCATTACATAACCCATATCTAGTAATGTCATCTATTTATCTAGTGGTCGAGGACCTAAAGATGATATCATCAAGGATTCTCTCACTCTTGATAAGCAACTTCCAAATAAATTCTCATAGAGACTGTTTTTGGAACCTCTAATTTCATTATCCAAATCACGACAAACCATTGACCAACCATCCTCCCCATATCCATGCAATGAATTTAAACCCATAATTTTCATTATTCTTAACATCAACAATGTCATCTATAAATTGCCTGGTATGTTCTAGAAATTATACAATGTACCTATTAGATGGTTTCTTCTTTGGAGTTTAGGATAACTGTGAACATGACCTCTTTGAAGATTTTTGAGAACTGCTGTGCTTGATAAACATACTCATGATATGAAGGATCACGATAAACATCATATCCCACATATTTCTTCCCTTTTCTCTTCACTCTTTTTTTGGTTTTTATTTTTTCAGGCGGTGGACACATGTTTGTTGTAGTGGGGTAAAAAATTTCACACACCCTTATTTTTAGTGCTCTCTTTCTTGCAACATCTAATAACCTGAACCTTTTACACAGTGCATCAATTGAATTGGTCATGTCCAACTCTTCTCCATCCTCTGTATCTACCTCTTGTTCACCTTCCATGCTGAGCTTCCTCCAATGGATATGAATATCATCAATTGGTATTGGTTCACCACTCAACGTGTATCTCCCTTGCTCACAAGCACAAGGTAATTTGTATACTTTTCTATGATTACACCTGCACATTTGGGTGTTTGTACCCACCATGTCAACCCTCAACCACTCTTCAGGAATGTGTCTCAAAGCAGCCCTAGATACTGATCCATACAAATTCCCATAAAAGGGACTAGTGGGCACATGCTCAACTTCATAAAAACTCTTCTAAAATGAAGCTCTAATATTTCCCAATTGCACCTTGATTTATCATGCATTGCCTCCCAAAATTTGCACATATCACCTAAACTATTCTTTAACATTTGCTTTAGTTTCTAATGCACAGACTCAACCCAAAAAAAATCAGTATCATAAATATTAAGATAAACAAACTATGGCTAAAATCAAATACCTTACCTATTAGTCACGGTGTTACCTAAATGCAACACTTTATCGATCCGAGCTTCACAAAATCTATGCCTGTGAAGCGTCAACCATGTGTCTTTCACATATTCAAAAAATGGTCTAAAATCCACACAGACATGCTTAAGCTGTTGTAACTGTTGTTTTAAGCCATGTCTGACTTGCATGCTTCAAAGATGATCCTGATCCACATAATATATGAAAGTCTCAAAGGGTGTACTTATTAAATTAGGATTGAAGTTTATTTGTGTTTTTTGTTTGAAGACAGGAATGGCAAGTGCATTGGACACATTATGTGTACAATCATATGGAGCAAAGCAGTACAGATTGTTAGGCATACACATGCAAAGAGCAATTTTGATTCTAATGACTGCTAGCATTCCAATATCATTTATTTGGATTAACACTAAATCCATTCTCATTTTCCTTGGCCAAGATCCTCAAATTTCTACCGAAGCCGGTAACTATGCTAAGTTAATGGTTCCAAGCATTTTTGCTTATGGTCTTATACAATGCCTCAACAGATTCCTTCAGGCACAAAATATTGTGTTTCCAATGATGTTTATCTCTGCTGTCATAACTTTACTACATGCTCTTTTGTGTTGGATTTTGGTTTTCAAATCTGGACTTGGAGGCAGAGGTGTTGCTCTAGCAAATTCTATATCTTATTGGTTGAATGTTACTATGCTTTCACTTTATGTCAAGTTTTCTCCTTCATGTAAAAATACTTGGACTGGATTTTCCACAGAAGCACTTCACAATATTCCAATGTTTCTTAGGATCGCAACTCCTTCAACTATTATAGTTTGGTATATACTACATAATGTTTACTTTTGAGTAAATAATCATTCTGGTTCTTAAATGCTTGGAGCGTAGTTACTAGTGCTATCGTGACACTGCCTCATACAATTAAGGACCAAAATGACTTCACTTTTTTTTGTTGGGATCATAATATTAGTATTGTATCCTTTTTCTAATCCTATCAAATCATGGCAAACAGCTTGGAGATGTGGTCATTTGAATCTATGGTTATCATTTCTGGTCTTCTTCCTAATCCAAAGTTGGAAACATCAGTGCTATCTATATGGTTGGTTCTTTATTTGATACTCTTTTCAATTTTGTTAATCATATTTGGCAGTTGCCATTATTGATATCGACAACTTGGTTTTGTTAGCTTGAACACAGTATCAGCTACTTGGATGATTCCTCTTGGACTCAGTGGAGCTGTGAGGTTAGTATTTCTTATGCACTTCAGTGTGTGGTGCGTACGCGAATATGGTATCAATAGTGTGTGATCAATTTTTGCAGCATTCGCGTTTCAAATGAACTTGGTGCTGGTCATCCGTGGGCTGCACGCTTGGCTGTGTGCATTGTCGTTGTGATTGGAATTATTGAGAGCATCTTAGTTGGAGTGGTGATGATACTTTTGCGCAATATATGGGGCTATGCTTATAGCAATGAAGTAGAAGTTGTCCAATATATTTCAAAAATGATGCCAATTCTCGCGTTATCAAACTTCCTAGACGGACTACAATGTGTTCTCTCAGGCAATACTAGAGGATGTGGTTGGCAGAAAATTGGTGCTTATGTCAATATGGGATCATACTATTTGATTGGAATTCCATTAGGCATTGTATTGGCTTTTGTATTGCGCATCGGTGGCATGGTAAGAAAACAACTCGTAACTAATTTGAAGAGACTTAAATCAACATGATCATTTAATTCAAACTGCTGATAAGAACTTAATGCAGGGACTGTGGTTGGGGATCATATGTGCGCTTACTGTCCAAGTATTTTCTCTAATGATCATTACGATTCGTACAGATTGGGAGAAACAGGTTAACTACTTCATTTTTCTTATTCATCTCTTTCATTTAATATGCGTGTGATGCGTTGTTGTATACTGACATGGTTTTTGTTTCGGTTTTCTTTAATTCAGGCAAAGAAGGCTACTGATAGAGTCTATGATTCAATAACGCCAGAGAGCTTAGTCTCATGAAGAATGTGATTTTTATTTCGTTTTTCGTACTGTATTTGCAGGATATGTATTTTAATGTAATGCTTTTTTTACTCAATATCTTCATGTAATGTTGATGCAAGAAAATTTAGTGTTTTTTTCACCTATAAATTGTAAATTAAAACTGATCTAATGTGCAAAATTTGAATTTTCCAGGCAGTACTAGGCAAATTGAGTTCAAGTAAGTGAACATTTTTTAGTGTCTTGTCCTCTTTTTTCTTTTAACCAAAGTGTGATTTAACTTGCGTGACTGCAATAGAACTCAAACTGGAAGCAATGATGAACGGTGTGATGGCCTTACATTTTTATGAACATTTTCCTGCAAATCTTTTCATCTTGGATGAAAATAATGATGATAATTAGTTCAAGTAAATGAAAGTTATATTCAGATATACCATCTATCAAATTTAGTAAAGAATGGTGTTGATTCCACCGGTGATAACTCATACTTGGTCAACATGTTCTGGATCTGTCAAGCGAGATGTTTGTGGCTATATTGAGGAAGGATATAAGCTTGGAGATTTTTGGGAAAATACAGAGGTTCAATATTGGGAGTTTCTTTACTTGCTCTATGTTTTATGCAGTTGCTTTTCTTCATCTGTGTAATTTGCAGTGGCTTAGGAGGTTTTTTGGAAAATCAATTATCCCAGCATTTCAGTTTAAATGAAGGTTTAGGTGGCTATGTTTGTATAAGCGTTATTGTATTGTTTTTTTATTGAATTTGTGTCTAATTAGTTTGCCTTGCATATTGTCATATCTCAGGGTATTTTAAACTTTCATGCATTTAATTTTATTTTATTTTGTTTAGAAAAAAAATTTGGTTTTACATACAGATCGGTTGAATTAAATTTCAATTGTGCGTAAAGTTAGTGGACGAAAAATTTAAAGATCGAGTTTGTATATGACAATTTTATTAACCTATGGTTCGCGTAGTTTAACTGGGCGTGCTTATTTTATTTTTTCGACTAAATTTGTAGTAGCATTTGATCAACCTAAGCCTTTTCAACTAGAAATTTTTTACTTCACAATTTGATCAAAACATGTCTGCTTTTTAGAAGTATATTTTACTTAAATCATTTTAGCGCATCCAATTTATTTTTCAGAGCGTTTTTGCATCCAATTTTTATTCATTTCAATCCTTTTTTTTTTCTTTTATATCAAATAGTTCAGAAAAAATAAATAGAATTTACTATGCATTCATTTTGATTTTGTTGTGTTTATTTATAAATATATGAATTTTATTTGTTTTAATTGATTTTAATCTCTTAAGGCATCTAGAAGGAGCAATGTGAGTATTTTAAATTAATTGGTAAATGTGTGTTTCTTGTGCTGATCTCTAGCCATTAAATCGAATTAATTAAATGTTCAGAATCACTATCCATGTCCATATCACTCCACCAATGAAAACTTAAAAAAAAAAAAACAAATAGAAAATAAAGGAGGAATGCACCATTTAGTTTCTTAGCATCTCTCATTTTTGTTTGGAGTCCCTCCAATGTGAAAAGGACGAGTTTTTTTTTAAGGATGTCAATTTGTATCTATTAACAGAAATTATTTGTTCGGAGTTCCGAAATCGGAGTTTTTTTCTCCCGCAAAGACGGGGATTAAGGTAAAAATTCTCCCGATGAAACTTCAGGACGGAGATCGGGGAAGTACCCTCTGCCCTGTGGATTCTTCAAATCCGGTCATACTATTAATTATCATTTTTATATTTATAATATTATATAAAATATAATAATTATGTAACTGTACATTTTTTTTAATAAAAGAGTAATTATATTATTGGAAAATAAAGGTTCATTACTCATTAGTCATTAGTGGAGATTTTATTTACTAATCCTAGAAAAGTGAACCATGCATATATAAATTACAATGTTAAACATCTCTTCTTCTTCTTAGAAGAGTCTTTTTTTCCTCAAAATTATTTGTCTTCTCCATTCCTCCTCTCCTCTGCTCCCATCATCATCACAACAATCACTCTCTTTTGTTTATTTTCAATTTCTCATCACGCAACAACAATCATCACTGTGGTATTTACACTCTCTCAATCTCTTTTTTCAAATTTTGATTCTCTCTTTGTCTCTTTTTTCAAAGTAATTACTATGAGTTTGTTTTTGTGTGAGAACTTGTTGTTTAGTTATGGTTTTTTTAATTTTATTAATTATTATTATGGCAAAAACCTAATTACGACAAAACCTAATTTTTGTTTTGTATTTTTGTTAGGTTAGTAGTCATGCTCATGGATGCTTTCTATTTAATTTATAATAAGGTTTGAGCAAATTTTGGTAAAACATGATGTTGCACAAGATGTTCCAACAAGAAGAAATATGTAAAGAACAACATGTCAGACAAGATGTCCTAACATTATGGACTCGACATCTTGGTCTGGTGCAGCAGATTTGCTGGAGATCTGTTCTAAGATTTAAGGTGCAATCAGAACGTGGATTAAGGAAAGATTAGACAGAGACTTCGAAGCCCATGGGTTGCTGAATGCTATAAAAGGAAGACCAAAACCTAGGGCATAGTAAGAGAGTAGACCTTGTAACGAATTCTTGTAAAGTAATTATAAGAGTTTAGAATTTTTAAAGTCGTGTACTTTCTTGTGTTGTAAGTTACCCTTTGTATTAGTTGATACATTGTGGTAGACATAGTTTTTGATATTCAGAAATATGTAGGTAATGAATTGTATATTATTCGTAGATGAAGCTATTAAACAAATTCAAGCATTATTGTTAATTAATAGTCTTGGCTGAATATTGTATTGAGAGGGGAGTCTTTCAATTGAATAGTTTGATACAGTCACCGGAGGTTCTGACTGTTAGATATCACTGAGGTGATTTAAGAAATGAGATGGGTTTCTCTTATCTAGATGGTGATTTCTAGATAGAATTGTTTTAGGTAGGGATTAAGTGAGGGGTTGAACAAGGTGAATTTTACCTCTAAATTAATACTACTAATAGTGGATTCATTCTTGGCTTGGTAGCCCTCATATGTAGGGGTTGTTGTTCACCGAACTTGGTCATCATATCTTGGTGTTCTTTATCTTTCTGTTATGTTAAATTCAGTCTGTTCTTATGTTCTGAAATATATGTCTTGATAGATGTTGAAGTATCTGTCATGACACTGTAATGTATTTGTAGTATTTAGATG